TTTATTGTTTCTTCTTTGAAAGAAATACAGAGGAATAATGTCTGTCTTCTTATTTTACTCAGATAGTGACTGATAAGATGGTTGAAAAGCGTGGCTGGCATTTCGTGCGAACTTTTCCCTAGCATATATAGTGTTTAGAGTTTTCTCTCCCATGTGCTATTATTTTGAAATTTGACAAATGTTAAGTACCCCAAATTAATGAAACATATGTAATTATTTGCATATGTATATTTTCACTATAATGCCTTAGTCTAATTCTCTTGTCATTCTAATGGCTCTTTCATCCCAACAGCTTAGTCCAGTCCCAATGAAACCATTCTTGCTTGTGCAGCTGCGAAGATTTTTGTGTTTTTTGAATCCAGGGCCACACGGAAAGGATGCATGTATATCGAGGCGATGAAAAGGACACAGTGGTCAGCACTGCAGTCACCCCATGTAACATAACCTTGGGGTTCCTATTCGGTTTGTCCCTCTGCATCAATAATGCATGTAGCCGTTCGCAAACAGAATTTCACATTCTAGAGCAGAGCCATGCTGGGGAAGGTATATTAGGTGGAGGGACTTTTTGGAGCATTTGGGGCTATGCCTATTTACATAGAGTTACATAAATTCGCATTTTTACTCTGGAAAGCCACGAGCAAAGATGTAGACCCCTCTCTAAGCAGATTTCCTTTTAGAATTCACAGCTGATTTTTAATATCTGACAGTGACTAGAGATGGAATGAAGAGCAGCACTGGCTTTGAAGAGGAGGAGAGAGAACAGAGATGGTCCTGCCTGCTAAGGAGCATCTGGATTTCTCTAGACAAGTTCTTCAGAACCCACTTTCACACTGAGAGCATCTTGTCATTCATTCTTTATATTAAGCAAAATTGAGATTTTCAAAGTGTTCATTGAGTCAACTTTTGTTTAAAAAATAATTTCTCTCTATAGGATATAAGCTTCATAACTATTGAGAATGTTTGTATTCTAGACACAAAAGTAGTCAAGCATTGTATTGCTTTTGTTTTTCTTTTGGTGTGGTTGGAGGTGACATGTCAGTATGTGTTTAGAAATAATGCAAGATTCTTAACAAAAGAGTATTTATATTCTTATACTCATTCTAATTCCACAGGCTTTAATTAAAAGTAGGCCTGAGATGTTAAAGACACAACCGTTGGCTGATTAGACACGGAAAGCTCCTGGGGGTGTCTGGTTTGTGCTGGTTTCGTGACCTCCTTCACAAAGGGGAAAACTGCGAAGTGAGGATTGCTTGGAGACACCGGTTTGCTGGGGTGGGGGAGCTCAGTGGCAGCGTGGTCACCTTGGCACGCGTGGGTTCCTGGATTCCTTCCCCAGCAATGGTTAAAAAACAAACAACAACAACAAAAAACTGGGCTTGAAAGCAAAGCCAATCTGACAATGTGCTGAAGCGGTGAGAGACGCTTCCTGGGGAAGACAAGACTGCATCTGAGTAAGTAAGACGTAGCCCAAAGTCTCAGGCTCAGGGCAACACCCGACTGCATCACTCCCAGGACAGAGGACAGAGGACAGACGTCCCCAGACCCCACTCCATGCTGCCACACGACCCCATCGCCAGAACCAACATCCTGCCTGCTTCTGCCCACCCCGGGTCTCTGCTCGTCGCCGCACCCATCCCGGCCATTGTCCCTGTCATGTCCACCTGGGAGTGTGTCTGGACGGGCTTCTTCTGCCATCCAGGAGGCTTCAAGGACAGTTAGGTGGACTGGGGCAAAAGGAGTCCAGATCATCTCAAGTTGCCGGAAACTTTCCCAAGGGAAACTAGATAAACACTGCGTGTCTGGGATAGCTCCTTCCTTGTAACCCCCAGAGTCACAACGATTATCGCAAACCAGTGATTATGAATCTCTTGCAGTATCTCTGCATGTTTTGTCCCTCTTCCCACAGCAAGAGGGTTGCCATGGAAACAGTGGCAACGGCTATATTTGGCAAGAGATGCTTGCTGCTATGCATGCTGGTGTTAAGTACAATTCCTCCCATCCTTTAAGGCAGGAGAGTAATGTGAGGACATGGCTCCACAAGCACATCGATTGCCGGGGTCCTGTATGAGATTTGGCTATCTGCGCCCAACATCATTATCCTCACTTTACACATAAGGAAACTGAGGCCATGAAGGTTAAATGCCTTTAACAACAGTCACTGCCATGATTTGCATGTGGATTGCGTTTGTGCCCCTAAAGTTTCCGGTGTTGAGATTTTTTGTTTATTTGTTTTGAGAGGGGATTCACTGGTCTCCAGCTCCTGGGCTCAAGCGACACTCCTGCCTCAGTCTTCTAGGTAGCTACACTCACACACTGTCATGCCAGGCTTATGTCTTAGAATTTAATTTCCTTTCTGAGGTATGAAGAGGTAGAAATGTAATCTAACTATGACAATTAGCAAGTAGGCCCTTTGGGAGATCAATTAGAACTAAATTTGCAGGGGAGGAGCCCCCAGGATCGAATACCAGTGACTCTGTGCGAAGAGAAACGGGAGACGCAGGTACACGCACACGGTCTCTGGCTCCTGCCATGTGCTGCCCCCCAGAGAGGATGCCAGCCCCATAGTGGGCCCCAACCTCAGACCTTCGAAACCGGAAGGTAGGTAAATAGTCTTTTTCTGGTTTGTTTTTGCGTTTTGGTGGTACTGTGGACTGAACCCAGGACCTTCACCCTGAGCTGCACTTCTGTTCCTGTCTTTGTTTGGAGACGAGGTCTCACTAAATCACCAAGGTGCCCAGGCTGGACCTGCCTCAGCCTCCCAGAGCACTAGGATTGCAGGTGTGTTCTGCCGTGCCCAGCCCAAACCTCTTTTCCTCTTTCCTTTTTTCTTTTCTTTTTGTGGGGTTTTGTTGTTGTTGTTATTGTTGTTGATGATGATGTTTTCTCTTTGTGGTACTGGCGCTTGAGAAAACATTCCCAACCCTTTTGTTCTTTATTTTGAGGCAGGATCTTGCTAAGTCGCCCTGGTGGAACTTGAGCTTGCCCTTGTCTCAGCCTCCCTCAGTGCTGGGGTTGCCGGTGTGGGCCACTGTGCCAGGCTCCCACATCCTTTCTCTGGAACCATGTGGTCTGATTTGGTTCTGCTGGTGCATGCCTGGAATCACAGCACTATGGGAGGCTGAGGCAGAGGATGAACATGTCCGCCCTAGGAGAATAGCTCAGCCGTCCGTGAGACCCTCACCCGAGGGTCTGAGACTCCCTGTGTTCAATCAAAAAACAAAACAAACAAAATATGGCATGTGGCCTGTGGGATTCAGTTATCAGTGACAGAAAATGGGCTGGTGGGTCACGCGACCAGGACGGAGGTTGAGGCAATCTGCTATCAGAGTAACCCTGCCCTGGGACCCGAATCAGTGGCTATGCATGTGTCTCTGCTTCCTTCATTTCCTACTTCTTCCTCAATTTCTCTAGAAATTTCTTTCACCTTTACAGTTCTGTGGAACTTGTCTTACCTCACACTCTACAACTGTTTTAGCAAAATTTAAAATTTTGCAGTTCTCCAAGATTCCAGTTATATTTTACATAACTTACAACTCCCATAAAATATGATACATTATGTAACTGCTGTAAAACACTTTAAAATGCTGGAAAACTCTCCAGTGTGTAGCTGATTGCTGCGTGGTATCTCAGGAGAGTGGTGAGTAGGGAGCCTGGGTGCAGAACCATGGAGGGAGGCCAGCGAGCAGGTGGGTGACGTCCTGGTAGAGGCGTGTAGGCCAGGTGTCCGAGAGGACACATGGACCCTGGGCCCATAAGAACCAGGGCCACAGTCCCTCTGAAGGGGACAGAACCTTCTGGAGGCAGTGACCTCAGTGAAAGTGTGGACTACTAAAGGAAGAAGAAAAGAAAAAGACACCACCCTTTCCACAACATATTGGGATGACACAGACACTTTTCAACTTGGATCCTGCATAAAAATAGCCTGCCCTGAGGATTTCTAATCTTATGCAGCTCTTACTCTGGTTTAGAATTTGAGTTTGTACTAAGAGATGGCAACAGAGAGAAGAAAATCCTACCAGCCTGGTGGGCTGACAGTCTGTGTGGTGTTCAGCTCTGCTGTAGTACAGCACCAGATGCTATAGATGTTACACAAACAAATGGGCATGTCTGTGTTTCCATAAAACTTTAATTGCAAAAATTAGATAGTGGACTGGGAATGGTGATACATGCCTGTAATTCCAGCTACTCAGTAGGCTGAGGCAGGATGATCACACTTGGAGGATCATCCTAGGCAACTCAGAAAGTCCTTGTCTCAAAATAAAATATGAAAAGGGCTGGGGACATAGTTTAGTGGTGGGGTGCCCCTGGGTTCCACCTCCAGTACGGGGTGGTGGGGGCATGGTGGAAATTTGTCTAACTACATGGGTCAGGAACCCATATGGAGAAAACCAACACAAAACACTGGTCCTGTACAGTGATAAATCTAGGGCTCGTGGAAGAAGACTGCCCTGGAGGGACACACAGTTAGCTCAGGGGGCGGAGGCAATTGCTGAAGATGAGCACACATTTCCAGACACAAACCACACAAAAGAATAGCTCACCATACCAGGGAGCCAGCAGATATGCTAAGAACTATTAGAAACTATAAAATAAACACAAATGTGGTTTAGGGCATAAAAGGGACAGTCATGAGAAAAGAATGAGTCTATGGAAATTAACAAAGTCTGAGAGAAGTACTCAAGTAGAACCTCTCTGAATGAAAAACAATAATGATTAAAGTTAAATAATAACAGAAGAGTTACAGATTGAAGTAAGGTTTGATAAGCTGGAGGAAACTAACAACATAACCTGGAAGGATGCAGAGATAAAAAATGTTAAAGTTAATTGAAATAGAGAAAACAGTGAGAAGATCTAGATTACAACTACCCTTGAAAGACTTCTGGGTCCCTTTTTTAAAAAATCAAGGAAATGAAAAAATGCAGTATGTAAAGTGATCTGGTAATATTTGAAAATGCTAAAAGGCATAATGCTCAGACTCATGATTCACAGTGAGTCCTAAACAGGTAAATAAAAATAATTTTATTGACATTTCAGAACAAAGGCAAATAGAATAGTTTAAAAGTAACTGATGAGAGTTGTATCTTATTGGATTTTATTATATGTGATAGTATAAACAAAAGTTTTTATAGACAAGGAGATAATATAGAAACCATTGTCCGTTTTCTGTTAGTTGGTTCTGAATATCCTGTAATACTTTCATTCTCTTGAATGGTTTTACACTGTCTTGTTATGTTTGATGCTATAGTATATGAAGTTATACTCAAATATTTCAAGGAAAGAGACACTATGGTAACTCCTGTTATGTCAGGTTATCTTGTGGTGAAACAATATATTGCTTAAATTGTTCTGTTCTGACCTGTGTTGTTATGTCCTCTTTTATCTTAATCTCCTTTTTTTAAATAAAAAAATAAAAGTAGGGGGCTGGAGGTTTAGCTCAGCAGCATAAGAACCTGCCTTGCAAGCAGGCAGTCGTGAGTTCGATCCCCGGTACCAATAAAAAGGAAAAAGACAAAAATAAATAAATAAAATAAAATAAAAATAAAAAATAAAAGTAGTTGATGAGAAAAGCATCATTACCCACAGGAATGACACTAGACTTTTGCACTATAACAATAGAGGCCCACGGACAATGGAACAGTAATTTTAAGTAGTAAGGATCTGTGTCAGAATTCTGTCATGTAAAGCAATCTTTTGAAGATGAAAACATTGTTTCACATTACCACTTCTTACTAGTGAATGTTTTATCCTTAGCTTTTCTTCTCTTCTACCTCCCTAATTAGCCATTTCTTCCTAATTACAGTAACTTCTTTTCTACCAAATTGTGAACATTTCAAGATTTATCCTTGGCTCTTGGCTCTTTTCCTCATTTATCCTCAAATCTTCAGTTCCTCATGACTTGCAGATTCGTGTTTGTTTTCTGCCTTTATCTCATTGGAAATTCAGCCCAGGGTCATAGGACTTGGAAATGGCATTTCCCAGTTTCCTCACGTCCCATGCTGCTGCCGGTGGCTGGATTAGGTATCTTTCCCAGTGTCCTCCGGTGTTTTGTTGCTATGCGTGTTTTTCTTTGTGGTGCTGAGGTAGAACCCAGGACCTTGTGCTTGCTAAGCTTCACCACTGGGCTCCACCCCCGGTACCAGGAGCAAGTTCTTCGTGTCCAGCCAGCCTATGTCCACCATTATTCAGAGACACTCAGCTTCCCAGCTTTTCTTTTGGTACTGGTGGTACTGGGCGATGAAAACAGGGCTTTTCACTGAGATACATCCCACAACTTTTTGAAGTCTTTCCTTAGAGACAGGATCACACTAAACTGCTAAATTGCCTGAGCTGGGCTTAGACGGTCCATCCTGCTCCCTCAGTCTCAGGGAGAGCTGGGTGCTGAGCACCACTCTGCACCTGGTAGCTTCCCAGGCCCTGTGAGGAAGGCTTCGGAGGTTTGCCAGCTTCTGCTGGCTTATGTCTTTTATGGTATCCCAGATGTCATGTGCCCTCCGGACGGCCAGGCAGGGCGGAGGGACCTTCCTGGAGTTTGAATTTGCCTCACCAGCCACCGTGCTGCTGGCGTCGCCCTCATGCGCTTCCCACTCTGCTCCAGACTGTTCTGCTAATCTTCCTTGCCCCATCTTTCCTTGGTGTCTTGGGTCTCAGGATGATAGAAAGTTATTTTGCACTTTTGCAAGATTAAGAGATGGTATTTGGCAGTTGCACAGCGTGAGGCCTCCTAACTAACTGGGTTGTGGGAGAAACTGTCTTGTGTGTGGGTGTATGGATGCGTGGGGGTGGGTGGATGTGTGTGCGCATGTGGGAGTGGGGTACGTGGGTGTGGGTGTGGTGTGTGTGATCTGGGTGTGGTCTATACCTAAACGTAAAACGTTGAAGGATGAGCCTAGGAGGATTCACAAACCTTGGTGGACTGAGGAGACTAGAACAGGATGGGTCCCTGGGGCCAGGATGCACGCCAGAGTCAGCACGCGCTCCTGTGTCGCCCTGGGCCGTGTCGTTTCCTAACCAGATGAAACGACCTTCGTGATTTAAAAATAAAGGCAGCAGTCTCTTTTCCGGCCTGCTTCTCTCTTCTGCGCAGCCCCGGCCACTGGGAAGGTGCCGGTGCCGGTGCGGGTCGGCCGGCCCCACGAGCCTCCACCCGCGCTCCGGTGCCAGTCCCGCTGCTCTGCGCCCCCCCTGCACCGCGGCGTCTCCTGAGCGCCTTTCCTGTTTCACAGACCCCGGGCTCCACCTCTGCCCTCCCGCTTTTCCTAACATGCTTTTGAAACCATGCAGCAGCCGAGGTCTCCGGGCTTGTGTTTCATGCTTTTTCCACCGAGGTGAACACAGCGCAAACTGCTTCTCTCCTGCTGGCGTTCACCCCAAAGCCACCTGGGCGTCTGCTCCGAGTTGCAGCCCGCCCCGTTTGGACGGACCCAGGCGAAGCCAGCACGGCTTCCAAGGCCTCTCGGCCTCTGCCGCAAGCCGGTGGCGCTTGGACGGGAGACCGCGAGCCTGGTGCCACGCACTGGCATTTCACACGTGTGAGTCCCAAGAAGGTGGCGGCATGTTACTGCTCACAGGCTCTGGGAGGAGCTGGCGCGATGTTTTTCCGTGCGCCTAACGACAGAAGCACTGGGCTGGGGAACAGGACAGATGGTTCTTGTTACATTCTATCCCCGACTGGAAGTACCATTCCCTACCAGAAATAGAACGTAGTTCCAAAATGCAAGAGAGAGAAATTGTCAGATAAATATCTACACTATTTTGTGCCATCGGTTTGTTTAAAACCACAATCTCAGGATGAATGCAACGGTGTGCGGTGGCACAACCCGGTTATCCTAGCACTTGGGAGGCAGAGGCAGGAGGATTGCCTTATTTTTCAGGTCAGTCTGAACTAGCAAGTTCAAGGTCAGCCTACACTACAAAGCGAGAGCCTGTCTGAAAAAAAAAAAAAAAAAAAAAAAAAAAAAAAAGACAAGTGCGTTTAGATTTCAGCAAACTGGAATAAAAAAAACATTTTTGGATAATAAGCATTAATAGTCACAAAATAATTAGTTCTCAGGTAATATAGACATTGACAAATGGCTGGATATAAATATTTTTACATTCCCAAGGCTTATGTTAATATTACCACCCTCTTGTCTGGTACAATCTTGACTGCCCCCGTGCCAAGACCTTGCAGTCCGCCACACACAGGAAGCCTCTCTTCAGTGACAGATGGCACCTAGAAGCTTCAGAAGTAAAGACAGATGTATAATTTAGAAAAGCCTTTAATTATTCACATCCTCCAGGTATTAGATATGGCAAATTTTTGGATAACTTTGAATTTTTTCTCACCTTCTTTGTACATGCATTTTTTAGAATTAATTGTAAGGAGTACACAAAAGCATAAAAATTATATGGTACATAGTACTGGAGAATATGCTTGGATATACATATATACTGTGTAACATTTACAACATATCTCCTTAAACATTATCATTTCTTTATGGTAAAGCTTGAAGAATCCTTTCTTCTAGCGTTTTTCCCCCAGCAGTACAGGGATTTGAACCTGGACCCTGAACATGCTAGGCAAGGGCTCAAGCACTGAGTTCCAGCTCTGGGCTGTCCTGCTTTTAGGAGCCCTTAAGAACATTCCATTCTCTACAGTCACTCTGCTGTGGGCTCATACTCCAAAACTTCTTGCTCCTACCCGTAAATACACAAGTTTTATTACCCAGGGTCCACCATGGAAATGTGATGAAATGCAGTCTGTAGGGAGGAGTCCTGTAAAATGGAAACAGGTTTTGTATCACTTAAATGTGAGCATGCCTGTATACTCAATTTGCTGAAAGATAAGAATGATAGCTGTGTCAGAGGACATACATAGTACTGCAATTGTTTTTATGAATGTTTTAGGTGGGAAAGTTGCCAAGAAAGGACTCATCTCCTAAGAACTCTGGACAGCATGCTAGAGCCATGCAGGCTGGAGCTGTGCCCAGCCTGAATGGTCAGCTTGGGGATAAGCTCGGTGGGCAACCCGTTCTCAGAAAGAACAATCTAAGCAGACCTTCACTGCCCTGTGGATTGATTCCAAGGAACCCTTTAAATGATCAAAGCACAGTCTGATAGGCTAAAAATGCAATAATTGGTATAATTAACCAATAGTTTTGCAGCAAAATGTTTTTAGTGATTCCTGACTCCTTTGCATACTGATTGGTTTAAGAGGCGATGAAACTTTTAAAGTTTAGCATTTTAAAAATGTAACTCAGAGTTATTTGTGGCTTTGGTTGTTGGAATAATATCAAGGGGTCTGTGCTTAGGTTTCATCATCAGAATAATATCAAGGGGTCTGTGCTTAGGTTTCATCATCAGAGCCTTTGAGGTAGCTGGCAGAACCTGCCCACGGCGTCTGGCATCTCCATTGAAGCTGACCTGTGTGAGCTTCAAAGACACTGGCAAAGAAGGGTAAGAGTTGCCTCCCTACAGATTCTGTGGTTTTCTCACAAGAAAGACTCAAAACACCTGCCACCTCTCGTAGTTGAAAAGATGCTTCTTTTAAATTAAGCCCAAATAGAGTACCAATGACAAACTCATCGTGAAAGAAGAGGAAGCAAGAATTTGGTCTTGGGCCCTTCCCAAGCCCAGAAAACAGTTTGTGAACATCCCTAGGGCGTGAGTCTGGCCTCTGTACTCTTAATACCTGCTGCCTGGGGTTACTTTCTCTTTGTCCCCATGAGGCAGGGAACTCTTCCCCATAGCCTCGGAAGAGTTTGGAGGGCCCACTGTCCTCACAGGTGGTGGAGTTGTGTGGACACAGCTAGGCCCTGGGCAGGAACTTCAGTCTTCCTGCTGGTTTTCTCCCTTCACAGGAGCTAGAATTCTTTGCCTCTGCTACTTGGTGGTTGGCAGGCTTGCAAGACCTGCTAACCATCGATTTCACACATTTTCTAGAAATATATTCTTCTGACTTCTAAACCAGTTCACAGATACCTGTTTTGAGAGTAAAAGCAGCAGTGTGTAGGTGAGGCCCACGTGGGTTTGGACGTCTCCCTAGTCCATCCTGGGAGAACGTTCCGCAGCTTCTCTTTGTATGTATTTCTCAATTACCTTTCCGGTTACAGCCTTCTGGTGACGTTCACGGTGATCTTATTGTCCACTGTCTGTGCTCCTCAGGGAAGCTACTCCACCGGGAATGATGATAAATACTCTAAAACGGAACATGGGATTTTAGTGGAAAGATGTGCATTGATCAATAAGTGCAACAAAAAAACGATGAACTGTGTTGGCTTCCTATTTCTAAATGCAGAAAGGTAAACTACGATTAATATTTAAGAGCTATTTCCTTCCTTTCTCTTCAAAGGCTTTGTAGTCAGCATCACAATAGGCCTGCCAGGGAAGTGGGTGACAAGTATTGTTAACAAATATGCAAATTCCTGCCAGGCAGGACACTCCATTTGTCTTTTGGGCTGCCTTTGTACATTATCTAATCCACATAACTGTCACATTACAAGAGGGAAGCTACTTTGTTTAGGAGAAATACATTTTCTCCTGTTATTCCACCTTACATTCATTCAGGCTTTCTTGAGCTAAAAATAAGTAAACATTCCACAATGAGCAGTAAAACCAAAATACCAGCGACCCATTGTTCCTCGCCATACTTTTACTTCAAAACTGAGAAGAGCCAGGCATAGTAGCACACACCTGGAGTCCCAGACCTTGGAAGGCTGAAGCAGGAGGACCACTTAGGAGCAGCCTGGAAAGCATACAAGACTAAGAGAGAGGAAATGGAAACTCTCCTCTCTTTTTTGTCCCCTCCCCAGTCCAACTCAGTCATTTTCTCCTCCAGGAAATAATCTGGACTAGAAATATATCCTAAAATGAACTGAATTTCAGGGGAGGATTTACACAAATTCCTGGTAATAAAAAATTGCACTGATTCTGACACACACAGGGGTCAGAAACCTTACAGTGATTTTCTTGTCAGCATTATTTCTTTGGTGGTGGGGGTGACAGGGCTTTGCTATACAGTTCAGGCTACCTTTGAACTCACTTTGTGGCCCAGGCTGGCCTCCAATTTATAGCAATCCTTCTCAGCCTCCCACCACACCCAGCCTTGCCGGCATTATTGAATTCTTCAAAACAATCGGGATTCAAACATTACAAATGTATCATGCATCCATTTGCAGTTTTCGTTGTCATAATCAGTACTTTATTTTTAGTTGTGTGTAACAGAAATGCAAGTGCATCTGTCTCGGTCTGTCTTCTACTGCTAGGACAGGACACCGAATCCTGGTGATTTGTCAAGAAAACACTTTCTCCTCCCACTTCTGGAGACTGGGAAATCCAAGGTCCAAGGACTGTGTCTGCCCAGTAATGCTGTGCAGGACGTCACTGCCCTTGTCCTAAATGTGGCTCGTGACCTGTTAGGTATCACATGTGCCAAGTTCACGGTCTCACAGCATTAAAGACTGAAGTCGCAAATTGAAGAGAAGAGTTTTATTGAAACTAAGGGAAGAAGAAGCTCCTGGGTTCCCCAGAGGGGTCCCGAGTGGGTGGCCACTGAGGTCCTTGTGGGGTGATTTATATGGCAAAGTCATGATGTGGGTACAACACGGGTCAAGCTACCATCAGCCTGCAAGGACTACAGCACAGCCGCTCAGCTAACATTGGTCCAACAGGGAAGTGAGTCACAGAGCCAGGGCACATGGGAAAGATGCGAGGGATTCTGGAAGAGGCCAGGAGTGCGGGTCTGGCCATGCTGTCATCCGCCTCTGCCTCTGATGGTATCTGGCCCGCCGGGTGTAGTACAATCTCACCTCGCCTATCTCACTGGCTATTGCGCCTCTGTCCTGAGGCCTGGCTGTCTTCAGATGTACCTCTGGCCACAATTCTGCTGTCTGCTTTCTGTGCTGACTTCCGCGAGTTCTCTCTGGGTGCACATTCATTTCCATCTACTCAGCTGCCTATAATAAAGCAGCCCACGAAGAGCATAGTCCTTTAGGGGGAAAACTGTGAAATTCTGGGTGAAGAATCCCCAGGAGTCTGGCTATCATCTCAGCTTTCCCACTGTGAACTCAGGAGCTGCATCCTTAGCACTTCTTAAATTTTTAAAATATTTTTGAGACAAGTTCTCTCTAAACCAATAAATTGCCCATACTGAACTGGAATTTGCGATCCTTCTGTCTCAGCCTTCCAAAGTGCTGGGATTGTACGTGTGCTCTACCATGCCCAATTTATCAGCAGTGTTACAGACCCACCACGGTCTGGAAGGGACTGCTCCTGTGAGGCCCCGTGGCTGGGGAGATGATCTACAATCCCCCAAAGAAGAAGCTGGCTGATGAGCAGGAAGCTATTAAAATAAGGAGGGGATAAAAATCATAACTGTGCAGGGCAGTCCAGCACTTCTGAGGAAACCGTCACTCGCTGGGGCTCAGAGGCCCTAATGCAAGCTAGCACGGGGCAGCCACAGTGGGTGAGTCGGAGAGAACTGAATGGAGACAGTGTTCCCTAGGGCACGGGGCAGATGCAGGGAAGCCACAGAAATGCCATTCCCAGGGTGGAGGGACAGGACCTTGGGCAGGGTCTCCGGGGAATAAATGCTCCGGATTCCTGCAGTCTTCGGCCGATACACCCTATGGCTGAACGGCCCGCAGACAAAGGAGTCCGGGACTCGTTTCTGGCGGGCCAGCCTACCGGGCAGGCTAGAGCAGAGGAGTGGATGCCGGAGGAGTTGAAAATACCAGCTGGGCGGTGCACATTTAGGCAGACAGCCAGTGCGCACGCACTGGTCTCCCGAGGTGGAAACGGTGAGAGGTGGGCCAAGCTCCATGCTGGAGACCTCGCCTTGCGTGGGTTTGCTGCCCAGCACCTCAAAGAGAGCTAGCGAGCAGCTGTGCAAATGAATATCCAATAAATATATGATATTCAAAAATTAGCTTACGTTGTGCAGTATCACCTGTCTTAAATAAAAAACATTATTTCCCTCTGTTTAAGCTGTTCTTTGAAAACTAATACATTGCCTCGCAGCATTTTGTATTCTTGCTTGCACTGACGAGAGATTCAAGAATCCTGCTAGGCAAGCAGCCTGAAAGAAACTCGAAGGCCTGAGGAGCCCGAGGCTGTGAGGGGCGGCCTCGCCAGAGCCGAGTCCCCAGCGATCATCCGGTCACTGCGTGTCCTCACAGGGCACCAGCGTGGTCTCATCTGCAGAAGCTGCTTGTCCAGACCGGCTCTAATTTCATTACACAAAAACCACTGGCCTTCAAGTTACAAGACCCAATAAAATCAGTGATTACTGTCCAACAGAATATAACGTGACTCAGTTTTGAAAACTTTTTCAAATTTAGGTGCATTTTGGTTTGCCATTATGAACTTACAGGAACACTGTCTAATACTAATTCTGTTGCACTGTATACAGTAGAAAATAAAACCTGGTTCATGGGATTAATTTTTCAGACAAGCAAAGGTTTGAGCTGAGGAGCAATTCAGTGGTTAAATGCTTGCCTCTCTCATGCGTGGGGCCCTGAAGTCCATCTCCAGCGTCAGGGGAAAATAACTTTTTTTTTTTTTTTGCCACTAACCAGGTCTTTAAACTGGTAGCTGGCTGCCAGTTCCTGTAATGGCAGATACTGTGGCGAGGATGACCACTGACATTCACGAGATTCTGCGCCCTGTGTGCTTTCTACACGAGCTCTTCCTGCGGCTGCTGTGTCGCTGCGAGGTCACAGGAGAACTTGCCGCTCAAAGAGGGCTAACACACAGCCACACTCCTGGTAAGGCTTCAGGTCCACTTTCAAATTCCGGTCTGTGTTGTTCTGATCCTTGCCAAGCAGCTAAAGAATGCAGGCCCTTGATGGACCATTCCCTGCCCTCCCAGGGCCTCCACTGGGGAGAAGGATTGTAGAGATGCATCACAGATGAGCCACCACTTTTCCTAACTCTTGGTCTTGTTTCTGCCAGTTGAAATATATGATGTGAACTGTGTGTATGTATCCGTTACACTAGGACCTTAACGGGACAAACAATGGACTAAGAAACAAATGACCTGAGGTGGCTGCTCACATTTGTAACCTTAACACAGGAGGATGGCAAACTCAAGACCAGCTTGGGCTGCTCAGTGAGACCCTGTCCAGCATACACACATACACATTGGAGAAATAAATCACAGAGGAAAACATGTTTTTATAATAGATGCTATTTTATCCATAAGTCCAATGTATGCTCATCATTTAAAACACAAGAAAAGTAGGAATGAAATTCAGTTGCCTATTCTTTAAAAAATGGCGTATCAATAGTGATAAATACTTCAAACATTTAAAAACGCCTTTTTTTCTTAGGAGGATCTTTCTAGACAGTCTGTTTCTTTGATGTTTAACTGAAGCTGTGAGTTTTGAGATGGTCTCTTATAATTCTTTTTCATTTTTATTAAGCTGCAGTGCTTTTAAAACCTAGTTGTATAACGGAGGTATAATTAAATGTTTCTTTTATATTTTAAAAATTTATCCAATTTAAGAATTGTATCATTAAATAGGCTGTATTATATTCAGAACACTGAGGTCTTCTTAACTCTTTTAAGACTTTCGAATTCAAGTACGAAATGAAATCTTAAGCTACCTGAAAAAAGTATCTGAGGTGACAGACTGATGACTAATACACTGCGACAAAACAAGACAAAACAAAACACCAATGCAATGGAACAAAGTAACTTCCCATCAAACAAACTACCGAAACTTAATTATGTAAACCAGGGCTATGGTGGTATCAAGTAGGCGGGACTTCCATTTTCTTTTTCATTTACCAAAAAGATAATACAATCAGGAGTCTCAGTGCATTCCTACATTATGAAACAACAAGAAGTTTCTCTCTAAAACTTATATTGTAGGGGCTGGAGATTTATCTCAGCACCATAAGCACCTGCTTTGCAACAGGCAGTCGTGAGTTCAATCCCTGGTACTGATTTAAAAAAAAAAAAAAAGAAAGAAAACTTATATAGATGTAGATGTGGGGTGGAAAAGAAGAGGCTTGTGAGATAGATATATACAAGTTAAAGATAACTTCTGACTTTTACATTTACTTTTTGTTTTAAAAATTAAAGCATTTCCTGTGCTGTTTGGATTTTGTTCATGCCTCCCCAATATAGTTTTATTTTTAAATTTTTTATATTGTTTTTGTTCTTTAAAATTAAAAGTTAAACAAAGTGGAGGGATA